GATACAAGAATGAAGCACTCACGTCATCCAGAATTTCAAAAAAAATATACCGTTTTAGCAAAATTGTCGCCGTGCTGTTGCGGTTGCTCCGCTGTGGTCATTTTGATGACTTTATCAGCCAGGCAGATCTTCGGCTGATATAGCGCATTTTCACGATGATTTATTCGACAATATTCAACTAGGCTTCCTTCCTGCATTTCGCCATCATCGTCGTCCGGATACTATAATTTCAAAAATAATAGTAACACGCAGGCTAATCAGTATGCATATCCTGTGTTATAGTGTTCCTATGTTCCAGGACTTTCCATTCTGAGCTAGAAATAAGCCGAAACTGTGGGATTAAAGGATCGAAGGAATAAGTTTAGAGATGAATTTAGAAAGGATGACAACGCAAGTAAGTTGTAGCAGAGTTTTATCCTAGTTTACGCTGTTTTCAATGGATGGAGGAAAGATGGCTAAAACGTATCTTCTTTGTTTTTAAAAGCGGGTAAGACGGAAAATCAAAATGACTCCCGCGGGAAAGAAAAATGCAATAAATTACCCTCGATGGCGCGATTTTCGGTCAGATGCGAGCAAAAGTTAACCAAGGGGATGCAAAATTTAACCGGAGTGTTGGCAAAATTGGATTAAAGCATCAGACGCAACATGGATGAGGAATGCAAATTGGAAATAAAAAATTTTCATCCGAAAAAAACTAAATTCAGCGCCAAGACGTTAAATTTGGTACATGGATGACAGGCTTAAACTGGAAACGGACGCCATTTTGGTCGGGATCAGATAAGCTTACAAAACGCATTTTGTAGCTGTCTTTTTTGCTAGAATCCATGCAAAACACAAACTTATATCAACCAAACTAGCTTTATCTTTGCAAATAGGAAGATGCCCTCCATAGAGTTGCTAGTATTACTGAAGTAACGACATATAGTTAGTGTCAGTAAGTTGCAGCACATTTTTTTTATGAAATACTGCGATTACGGTTCGACGTAAGTGATGCTGTCAGGAAAAAACGAAGATTTATGTTCGAGATATAGCGATAATGAGAGACAACGGATGGATCAAGCGGATTGGGGAGTAGTAACTAAGCAATTTCAATCGAACATAGGGAAGGTGGCACGCCACGTTGGAAAGGAAAATGTGTGGCATGGATGACCTCCAAAAAATAAAACTTCGGCGGTGCTTACTGGGAAATACCGTAAAATCTTCAGCAAAAATTTTGAAAAATAAGCATTTGGAGGGGTACCTGATCAGTGACATCCGTAATTGTCATGACATGATTTGCAAGGCTTGATGCGCTGTTGCTGTACGGATTGACGCTTGCCGCCAGAATCATATTATCAGCTCTCTCCTGAAAATTCATGCCTGACTGAGAGAATTAATATAAAAGAAAACGGGCACGTACCAGCGGACGCCACCGAGTTCACCACCAGCTC